TTTAAATGTAAAATTTCTTTCAACGTTAAATTGCTATCCTCATTGCCAATGAGATGTGACCTTTGAGTGTAACGATGAGAGACTTCATCACCTAATTTATGCAGACATCAAGACTTCCGTTCGTCCCTGCTCTGTCGATTTTTATCTAGCTTTTTCGTCTTGGACTCTTGTCCGTCAAACTCTGACTTAACAGTCGTCTCTGGACTTAGATTTCTGCGTAGAATTTGTTCTCGTCCTGTGATTGTTCAGGGATTTCTCATGTGAATCCAGGAAAGCTGTTTCCTTCAATAAATAAAAATGTCTCGCAATAGACAATAGGTCACATTCCCAAGTATATCTATATTTTTACATTAATTCGGCTCAGAAACAAAAGGCATAAATTCTGCCTCATGAACGTTACCTAACTCTCTGTTTACCGAGTCAGTCAATGCTTGTCCTGACCTTAATTCGGGTCACGCTAGGGATGGTCAATTAAATTCAACTCAGCCGTATGAACCCGTATGTAACAATCCCCCCTTGACTTCTTACTCTGTTAAGTTACATATGGCTTAGACCTCCAGATCTAACTATTCTAAAGTAGTTTACTGGACCAATTAAATATTACAAACTGGCATATAGATATACACTTAAGTGATCAATTAAATATTACAAACTAGTATATGGTATACATGTAATGTTAGGTCATACTCATTCTAAACAGAGTTAATCCACAAACTATGAAACATTACCCATCGCCTTGCCTTGGGTGCCATTTACTCGCGGACCTGGGTTCGAAACTCGGTAGAGTACGAATTTAATTTCTCTAACCTGTATGATAGTATTGTTTGTATTAAACTATTATTTCTGCCCACTATTATCAAGATTCTACTACAGAATCCAGGGATAGCACAGTCTGTTCTGTCTGGTATATATTTATAATTCTTTGTAAAACAAAAATCCTACATACTTTGATTTCTTTCATAGGAATCTGGAACGACTGTGTGCATATATGAGAATTAATTACTAGGTCGTCATGCGAGTGTGTCTGCTACGCACGAGCTTATATAACAACGATTCAGTGCCATCATTTTTTGGTGATGCGTGCTTAGTCGTGACGGTATATGGGTTGGTGCGTGCAGGCAAGGCGATGGGTGCCATTTACTCGCGGACCTGGGTTCGAAACTCGGCAGAGTACGAATTTAATTTCTCTAACCTGTATGATAGTATTGTTTGTATTAAACTATATATATATATATATATATATATATATATATATATATATATATATATATATATATATGCTCTGACACACGTGGATTTGTTTCTACAAACTGAGTCTAAAAATAGACCTACATCAATGACGTGGCCTACCTTCTCCAGCCTTCTGAGCCAATCGCGAAAGCTATAGAACATTCGGTAGGTTCACCATGTAGAATAATTATTAGAGAGAATACGCGGATAATACCGACGAAATGGCTTTGCCAACCTGTAATTATCGAAGTTGCCTATGTAACTTTTATTAATATAGGTTGTACATAGTGCTGCAGATCAATCGTTCATAAATTTGCAAGTTTGCTAAGGAATTAAATGAATCAATGCCTAAATTCTTGGGGAGAGGGAGGGAGTGTATGATGGGGGAGTTAATCTACCAGTTTGAAACAAACAGAAAAAACTCTCCTTGATATACAGAAAACATATTGAAAGACAATTAAAGCATATAAACAATTGAAATCCATGATATTAGATAATGCATCATAAAAACGTTTCAGTGCAATATCCACCGACACAAAGACGAAATATGAAACACAAGGATGTGGAAAGCATTTGTTGTTTGGGGAGAGGGGTTTTATCGGGGTGTTTTGCTTGCTTTTTTCCCTTTAAATTTCCTCTTCGTGTCAACTTTATTACACAAAGAAACAGCCAAGTTCTTTATTATACAACGCAGAGAGAGACTAGACCCGTATTACATATTGATCTAAAGTCTGATTTAGTTTTGAGAGCCAACTTCCTCCGCCCAGACACCACTCTTTCTCTCTCTGGAATCAAAGTGCAACCTTTCACGTAGCGATCTTACGTTGTCTTTTAAGAGAGAGAGAGAGAGAGAGAGAGAGAGAGAGAGAGAGAGAGAGAGAGAGAGAGAGAGAGAGGGTGGGTGGGGTAGGGGTGGACAGTATTTCTTGCACGTAATACAGACATTACATGCTTACGTTTCTCATAAATGCTTTTATGCGGTTTCCATCCAAATATAATATAGAACTTTTCTTCTTTACTTTCTTCGTTTTAGTCCTTTTCTTTTCTTTTCTTTTTCATCACAAAAACTCCTATATTCCAAATAATCACTCTTTTCTCGCAGGATAAACACCAGAAAGAGTGGGAGAGAATAATTATTAAACAAAAACAAAATCAACTTGACTATGGCAATAAAGACCAGTTCACAATTTATCTAGTCTGCATCTTGCTTTCAAACGAAGCGTCTGAATATAGTGAATTCGTCCGTCTATACGATTGTAATTTTCTTGAACACATTTACCCAGTTAAAGCTAGACACGTTCAGCTTGGGTGAATGAAAATGCCTTGGGTGTAGATTGTGCCTTCACTTTAGAATGTTTCTTCTCCCTTCCTTCCTGTGGTGAAAGATTCGGTGGCTAGGGGTGACTATATTTACGTCTCAGATAACTCAGTTTCCTAACTTGTCTGAGAAATAGCATATGAAATAGGTGAAAACCAACTGTGAACACGTATCAGACTGGAACGCCATAGAACTTATCCTAGAGTCTTTCCTCTACTCCTCCGAGACTTAGTCCCAAGTCCATGACATGGACTCTGCCTCACTCGTCACATTATACATTTATGTAATAGAATAAATACTAAACATGAGAAATTAAGAAACAGATTTACATACATGCAGAGGACACTGAGTCACAGTACTTCCCCCCCACCCAGAAAAACAACGAGAAAAAAAAACAAAACCACACACCCACCTACCAAATGGGGTTTACGCTTCAAACTATCGATATTTTCACAAATATCCATCTCACGTTTAGCTCGTGGGAAACCCTATCACGTAGGTATATACAAGATGATGAAACTTTGAGGTAGAGTATAAAACCGAGAAGCATGAGGATATGTGTTTCGCAAACAAAGAATTCTAAAAGTTACAATTGTCATTCATATTATTAATGCAATAGCGACTACATTCTTTATCATTAGACGTTTCAAAAGTTTTGACGTCTTCTTAAGGATTCTCTCGCCCCCACCCCTCTCTCTCTCTCTCTCTCTCTCTCTCTCTCTCTCTCTCTCTCTCTCTCTCTCTCTATATATATATATATATATATATATATATATATATATATATATATATATATATATATATATATAATGAACTTTTATAATATTTCTTTGTTTTCATCAAGTGGGTCTTTCAACCTTTATATTTTGATACCTCTCTATAAATCCCGGTCTGCCCCTCCATCCGTCTGTCTGTTATCACGCCTCATAAACCGCTCTATGGAAATTTGCCAACCATTGGAATTATGTTGCTAAAGTAATCTACCTCAAGACATGTATCTTTTTTGACTCTTTCCCCAGGAATTATTGGAATAGGGTCAGATGTACACAATTTTAAATTGCTCTGTCATTTTTCTATCTATTAATATGTGTACCATTCCTGCTGTCAATTTTTATTCATATGTCAACTTATGTGGCTTTTCTTCTTACTTTCTATCTCTCTTTCCCCAGTATACGTCTGTTAATCTGCCAACGAATGAATTGGTAAACAGCTTGTGAAGGAACTAATTGTACCTTTCTTTCATCTTTGTCTTTCTTCCTTTCTTCTTGTTTTACCGACTGTCTTCTAGTCTGTCTATTTGTCGGTCTACATGCTTTGCAGAAAGTTCTTAACAGTCATAGGTGGTTATAAACAATAGTCCAATACTGTCCTCAAATGTTCATGGGATCAGTGCCATATGATACATTAAGCACGCTAAGCACATGCTTAGGGCACCAGTCCAAAATAGCGCACCAGAAAAAAAAATCAAATTAATTGATGACGATAAAATTGCATCAATTATACATGACCTTGCATATTCGATTATTTTGATTTGGAATGATGACAACACTGATATTTTCCAACCCTTTTGCTATTGTTTTTGTTGTTGGTTTGTTCTTTTCTTTGTTATTTTGTTTTCTTGATTTTTAAGCGGTTTTAATGTTCATATTTTTGTACGTAAGGGGGGGGGCAGTTTACTTTCAATGATTAGGGCTCCGCAAAGCATTATTCGGACAACACACGGAATTTATTAGAGAACAGTGAACACGCAACATGTATCTACGTTTTTATGAATGTATTCATCTGTCTATCTGTCTGTCTGTCTTTATTTGTCTTCAATCTGTCTATCTGCAGATCTATCTATTTGTCTGTCTGACAATTTTCCACCCGTGTATCTGTCTATTAGAAAAGAAAGTATTTATCATAACCTTCAAATCAAATTTTGTAGCTGTGCTTAAAAATATTTTGTTATTATTCGAAAGAAACATGCATGAGACCCCAGACTTTGAATTTGCCCGTTTATTGGATCTAGCTGGAAGTAGTAATGTACGTGTGGACATTTCAGACCAATTAGTAAATTACCGAATTGCCACAACCAATTACAACAATAACAAATTTTGCTCAATTGTGTATTGAGCAAAATGTTATTTTATTAACTGGCTACAAAACTACCATAGTGAAAGACATAGATAATAATGTCGCAAATATTTGTGTTTGAATCCATTTAACAGTAGTGATGTGATTATGATTTTTAACGTAGCTTTAACATTTTTTCAGTCATATCGATGCGATGTCTGCATTGTGGCAGTTTATGGTGATGTCTAGCACTAGGGAATTATGTCGCAGACATGTAACATGATGTCCCACCCAGTCACATTATCCTGACACCAGGCCGACCAGTCTTAACACTAACCTCTTAATAATGAGCGTCAAACGAGGCAGCTGTTAGTACCATTTTTGTAAGCCTTTGATATGAATCGACCGGGGATCGAACCCACGACCTCCCGCATCTGAGGCGAACAATCTAACCACTTGGCCACCGGAACGGTTTTTAACAGTAGTAATGTTTTAAAAATGTTCCTAAATATCTTAATTGAATAAGGGATTTTGTTTTCTCTTTCTTCTCCACTTGCCTCTATCCCTGATTTTAGTTATTGAAAAGGTTAGTACCTAATTGTAACTATTAGCGATACAAGTTTCCATTGAGTGAGATTTAGGTTGTAATACTGAATCACTTTTTTTTAGGTACTTTCTCGTTTCGTACATCATCAAGTGTGAGTATGTCCTTTCTCATATCACTCAGTGCAGTGTGCTTATTTTATAATTAGACAGCACGTTAATATCGTGATTCGTACGTTGTGCAAATTTTGCAAATCAGTCTTAACTCAAATAGCGAGATCTTGAAGATGATAATATCAGTATCGTTGTGGAATCATAAATGTTTAAATAGGTGAGATCTACCATCTTGTTCACGAGAGAGAGAGAGAGAGAGAGAGAGAGAGAGAGAGAGAGAGAGAGAGAGAGAGAGAGGAAACGTCGGATGCATGTGGTGATGTGTGCATATTTATGCGCGGACATATGCAGAAAAAGAAAAAAATGTTAAACCTCTCA